GGGGAGCAGACAGGGGGGACGGGGGGAGGATGCGATTTGGGGGTCGCTGCCTGGGGAGATTGTAGCCTTACTGGAGCAGTGCCGTGCTCTGTCGCGATACCGGGCTGGAGAGAAAAGGCTTGTGCCAAGGTCAGGTTCTCGGGCGCGGTGGAAGTGGGGTGGTGATGCAGAGCGGAGCCTTTTCCTTTAGTTAAGTCAGGACGAGCTTTACCGGTTACGTTCGGTGGCGAGTAAGGAACAGCAGCGTAAGCCGAGCTTCAGGCTGCTCTGAGGTCGGCAAGCAAACGTAATGTAGCTTTTGAACGCTTTGCCTTAGCGTGCAAACACTTTTAAACGGCTCCCCCTTCTCCCTTCCCCCCTCCCCTTCACACACATATTCCTTTTAGACCTCGTTTCTTTCGGGCCGGTCCATATTAAGCATCATCCTCGCTGAATGAATTATCACTTCCCTGCGAATCCTACGGAGCCCGTTTGTAATGCACAATATGCTGCGGAATCTTCCGCGATATGACGTGGCGAAACGAGACGCGGGGTGACAACAGGCTGGGGCGGAGCGGAGCTCCTGCGCGGTGGCGGGGCTCCTCAGGCGGGGCCGGGCACTTCCCCGCCACCGTCCCAAAAAAAAAAAAAAAGGGTTTAGGATTTGCCACGCGTTTTCTAGGTTTTGTCTGCTTTCTCCAAGAAACTGTGCCCACATGGCAAGCAGTCCAGCTCGTTCTCAGAGGCTGGGCAGGAGCCACTGGGCTGAGGTAGCCAAGGTCAGGATCCGGGGGAGGTCTCCGCAGGATGCCGGGCACCTCTCCTGCGGGAAGGACGGGGGAGGAGGTGACATTGGGGTGTCCCCCCCCCCCCTTTTTTTTTCCCTTCCCTTTTTTTAAACAGCGACTCTTCGTTGTGGGAGGGACTGTCGGGTTTCTCTCCTTGGAACTCCCCCCCCCCCCCTTTTTTTTTCCCTTCCCTTTTTTTAAACAGCGACTCTTCGTTGTGGGAGGGACTGTCGGGTTTCTCTCCTTGGAACTCCCCCCCCCCCCCTTTTTTTTTCCCTTCCCTTTTTTTAAACAGCGACTCTTCGTTGTGGGAGGGACTGTCGGGTTTCTCTCCTTGGAACTCCCCCCCCTCCCGTTTCTGTGTTTCCTGAGATACAAGAGAGGCTTCGTTTTCTCCAAGGACAAGCAAGGAGACGGACAGGGGAGCCCAGTCCCTTTCCCTAGGCTGAGCGCATCTTTCCCCGAGAAGCCGGGCGTCAGGGCGCTGACCCGGGGTAAACCGCAGCCCCCCCAAAAAGTCTCCGCACGCCTTCCCGCAGGGGTGGCTCCCCCTCAGCTGCCCCCGTTGTTTCGGGGCTGGGAGGTGACGAGGTGCAATGAACGAAAGGCGGTGCTCGGGGTACTCGCGGGTCTCTTGCTCAGCTCGGAGTTGAAAAAGCCTGGCGCAGCACAGGTCAAAACCCAGTCGTTAGTCTGTTTTAGGCTTCGCTTAACTGTAGAACCCATCCATACGCAGCTGTTTACAAGCGAAATCAACATGCTTGGTCTTCCGTAATCGGCGTCCCTTTGCTTCTCCCCCGGCGGGGGCAGCGAGCCGGCGGCCCGTCG